AATGAGTCGTCAACTAGTAGCAAGGTTGTTAAGTAACGGTTCGACCACAAGTATGCATTCTCTTCGGGTGAAACCCACGATCTCGCCACTTCAAGTAGATGAGGCATCGTCGACACACGTGCGTCATGACCTTATTGAATGTGTTGGCTCTAGCTTTGTTTCAAGGATTAAAATATCATGTTTGACTTTTGATTGAACCTGTCACATTAATGCAGTGCGATAATTTCTTCTTGAAAGTTTTATTCAGGCGTGAGGTAATTACACAAAACCACCACATTTGGGGCCGGTGCAAGAACTTGCCACCATATTTGGAGAAAAATCCCATGGCACCACCATTTTTAGGCATGCGAGGTAATAAATTGCACCAATTCACGAATTAGCTCATGAAAGCGGCCACGCTGACTGGTGGGTCCTGGATGTTGGGCCGACGTGGAGCGCGGTGAGGGCAGGCGGTACACGGCCGCTAGGTTAGACCTCGAGGTGTTGGTGCGGCTGCTAGGCGTCATCCGCCTGCTAATCTCTCAATTAGCATCCCGCAAGACAGCCGTTGGATTTAATTATACGCTGTCGTCGGATTCAAGCCATGTGTAAACCCTCCCGACAAGATCCCGTTGTCCTTCCCAGCGTTTCTGCAACGGTTTCGTGGAAGCAAAATCCCCACCTCCTCTGCAGCTCCTCTGCACCCGCCCGAGGCCAGGGCGAGGAGGAGATCCACGCCGCCGACGCCGCCTTACCTCTACCACAACCGCCGCCAACACCGCACCGGCTCTACCACCGCCGCAACCGACGCAACATCGCCTCTACCTCGCCGCCGTCGACGCAGCAACGCCCCCGTACACCTTCCAGCGCCATGGCAGCACACCACATAGTTCGATCTATGCTGTCGGCCGCCATGGATCAAAGCTCCGGTGCTCCATCGAGCAGCAGGCAAGCCAGATCGGCTCCGATTCTCGCCGGCGAGCCGATTCGCCGGTCTACAGCTGCAAGGGAGCTCTGCAATCCTCCTGTGTTCTCTGCTGAAGCATCCCGGGCAAGGTCCTCAGAAGCTTGGGTAAGTTGCAAGCTCCTTGCAGGCATGAAGCATCATGTTGTTTTTGATTCTGCCATGTTCATAATTTTGTGTCTCTCTGATCACTGTCCTCAGAAAAAATGCAGAATCAATTGCAGCATGTCTCCTTATGTTAACTGAAACTATGTACAAATAAACCCCTTTCCAATTTCAGCTTAATAACTGCTCTAGCAATGTGCAGGGTGATGTCAACTGAAACCTGTGTATACTTGCCCTTACACTTTCACCATTTTTTAAAAAAATGCAGCAAAAAAAATGTTCAGGAGGAAGTCAACTGAAACCCATGTATAATTTGCTCCTTGCAGTTTCAGTTTAAGATTTGCAAAAAACAAAAAATGTGCAACATGTGTGGTGAATGCTCCTAACAAAGTACAAAATGAAAGCTGAAAAAATTCCTCAATATGAGCTTATTTTTAAGGCTAATGCTGCATATCTTGTTACAAAAATATGAAGCACTGGTTCTATTTGACTATGTTGCATGCTTTAAGCAGTAATCCTGTTGGACAGAGTTCATACACTAGAAAAAATGTTAGATAGAAGATGTTGCATCTATTAGGAAAAATCAATTTGTATTACAAAACCGGAAAATCAACTTGATTACTTTGCTTGTAGCACTGTGATCATGGTAGTAGAAGATATGGAAGCATTTTATTTAGTATTGTGAGGTCAAAACATAGAAGCACTAGTTTCCTGCATGTTATACCCTTTTTTACTGACATTGTGATAACTTTTTTCTGCAACAACAAACATAGGCTGCTGGTGCTGGAGGTGATGATGATGAGAGCTACATCATGGGGCAAATTTCTGTTGCGAATGGAGTTAGTATGGAAGGGATGATTAATGCTGGTGATGTCCAACAAGTTATGGATGATGCAGATGATGATGCAATATCATCGCAACCACTTGTTCCATATGTGGGCATGACCTTTGATTCAGTTGATGACGCAAGACAATTCTACAACGCATATGCTTTCAGGCATGGGTTTGGAATCAGAACATCTGCTTCAAAAAATAGCCAGGCCAGAGGACCCACAAAGCTAATTAGCAGGACTTTCACGTGTGTTCATGCATGACCTGGTGGAAGCAAAAGTGAATCTGATAGCACTACAGATAGTATTGCAACAGAGTCAAGCAACAATAGCAAACGCCCTGGACTTTGGATGAACATGGCAGACACAAGAAAAAGGAATAGGTTGCAACGTCACGATTGCAAGGCTCACATGATCATTGGACTCCGAGATAACCGATGGACTGTCACGTGCTTTACAGAAGACCATACACATGCTCTGATGCAACAGGAAGAGAAGGTTAGGTTTTACCGGTCTCATCGAAAGATCCCACGAGAAGACCTCCAAATGATAAGGACGTTGCATGAACGCAACTTGTCAACCTCAGATTGCATGGGAATCCTAGGAGATTGTCACGGAGGTGATCAGAGGCGCCTTGGTTATGTCAAAAGGGATGTTTCAAATGCACGGTCTGAGATGCGGCAAACCATGGCGTTTCAGGACATGGCCATGACAATTGAATACTTTGAGAGGCGGCAAGCTGAAAGCCCACAGTTCTTCTATGCAACACAAGTGAATAAGGAGACAAATGCGGTAGAAGCATTGTTTTGGGTGGATGGAAGGACAAGAGCACTATACCCAAAGTACAAGGACTGTGTCTTTTTTGATACAACCTTTTGCACAAACAAATACAACATGCCTTTTGCTCCGATCGTTGGCATCAACAACCATCTTCAGACTATTGTCCTAGGCCGTGCATTGCTTCCAAATGAGCAAATTGAAACCTTCAAGTGGGTCTTTCGGCAGTGGTTACTTGCGATGAACAACGAGTACCCAACAAACCTTATGACCGACCAGTGCAGAGCAATGGAAACTGCAATTTCTGATGTGTTCCCTCACACAGTCCATAGGTGTTGCAAGTGGCATGTACAGCGGAAGGCGCGTGAGAAACTTGGGAGGATGCTTACAAGGGATCCAATTTTTGAGAAATCTTTCTACGAATGCATCAATGAATCCGAGACAGTGGATGAATTTGAAGAAACATGGCAGCACATGCTGCATTGCTTTGAGTACACAGAGAATAGGCACTTACAAAACATGTGGGAATGCCGTCGGACATGGGCTCCTGCGTACTTCAAGAATGATTTCTTCCCTTTCACAAGCACAACCGGGCGATCAGAAGGGCTGAATTCTTATTTCAAGACATTAGTGCATCCACAAAACTCGGTTTTTACATTTGTAAGGCAGTATGAACTACTACAAGAAACAATGCTAGACCGTGAAGATAATGCTGCTTTCACCGGAGAAACGACAACATCACCACTATGGGGAAAATACAAGATAGAGCGTCAAGCTGTTAACTTCTACACACGCAGCGTCTTTGGCAAGTTCCAAGAGCAAGTGGCAGCATCGACAGCTTATATAATCAACCAAGTGCCGAATCTTGAGCAGGAAGGTATCATGTTTGAGCTTTACTCAAACTTGTATGATAATCCAAAGTTGTACCATGTGCATGCTGTGGTAGAGGAGGAGCTATACTCATGTAGCTGCCATTACTTTGAGATGAATGGTGTGCTTTGCTCACATATCATAAGGGTGATGATACAAATTAATGTGCAAGAAATTCCAAGTAGATACATGCTGGAAAGGTGGTCCGAAGCAGCTACGACAAACATGGACACCTCTGGGAGGTTCCTCGAGTTTGGACTACCAGAAACAAACACTCTCAAGTACAACTCGCTATGCAGAGATATGAATGCATTGGCAGCAGAAGCATGCTCCGTTGATCCAGCTTACAACTTGCTGACAGATGTAATAAAGCAGCTCTGGCCCATAGTTGCTTCGATGAAAAAAGATCAAATGTCCAGGGAAGAGGTGGTGCAGCAGCATCAACCCCCTTAAGCAAGTGCACTTAATGTTGCAACTGGAGCAAACCAACAATCATCAGCACCGCTGCAAAATCCTGCTCGTGTGCCGAAGCAAGGTCGGCCAATAGAGCGAGCAAAAAGAAAAAAGACATTGTTGGAGCAGCAAGAAGATGAGCATAAGAAGAAGCTTCAGAAAGAAGCCAAGAAAGAAAGCAAGAAAAAAACCAAGAAAGAAGACAATGTGGAGTCATCAAGCAAGCCAAAACCTAGGAGGAAAGTTACTTGTTCATTTTGTAGTGAAGAAGAACACACTATCAAAACCTGCAAATCATTCCCCGAGTACAAGGCTATGATGGCTGCTAACCTTACAACAAAATGTCAGTTTTGCTCCGAGGAAGGCCATACAATGCAGTCTTGCATTCAGTTTCAAGCTGCGATGGCGAAAGTGGAGCAACATGCTCAATAGTTAGATTTTACTTCTGTAGTTGAATTCAAGGTACAAGAAAAACAGTAGCAGTAACTTGAAAAGCTTGTTTTTGAAGAAGACATATTTGTACTCTGTGCACCTACTGAATTTTGTTTGAACTTTAAATGGATCATTTTGGAGTGGTGAGTGAAGAGAAATGAAATATTGATATTATGTTTGATATTATCTTTATATAGAATTTCCAGTTATTATGTTTATATTTTGGAGTGGGAGCAATACAAAAAATTTAACTTTACATGGATCATTGTGCTAAAAAAGTTTATATTGCTGCTGCAAAAGTGGGAGTGAAAAGAAATGAAAACATTGATATTATGTTTGCACTAAAAAATCATCGCGGTCATGGAGGGTACAACATTGCTGATCTTCTAGCAATGCCACTTGTGCGCGTTCGTAACACTGACATTGATATTTATTGATTTTTTGGGCCTTCTCGCATTGTAATCGGAATGTATGTATGTTAGCTTCTCATATGTTCACCATGAGCAAGGCTCAGCTCCCTGATTTCATCACGAATTCATCGAATGCAGTCTTTAATTTACAGCAATATTTGGCCATGTTTTCATGAAGAAAAGTTCACCATGCTTGCTGACTAAAGAGGAATAGATACAACTTATATAGATTACAAGTATCACCAGCAGTACACAAACTGGAAAGCTCGAAAGATGGATCAGCCGAAGCTTGTCTAACGGCAGCGTCAAAGAATGTTGCCAGGCAACAGAAAACTACCACTTACTAATGAGCAAAAATGTTCATTAGGCATTGTTGCAGAGCCTCTCCCAGGATTGGGAAAAAAGAAAAATACACAATTTTCAGTTATTAAAAAAAGGGAAAAAGTGTGTTTCTCAAAATGTATTGATTGCTCAGAAGCATTCGGCTAAAAAAATAGGTTGCTTGCTTCAAGTAGTAGGACATACAAGCCGAAAAATACTTCTTCCAGCAATTATCACAAGCTGATCCTTCCGAAAAAAGACAATGTTTCATGAGTAGTTTTCTTTCCAGTAATTCCTCAAACGTATGATTGTCATACAAATTTTGATGCCAGCAGATGCTAGAAAACACACATGAAACAAAAAGATTTGCTTTACATGAAGTTTCATTTGACATAAAAGATAACATAACACACTACTGGCAAGCTATATTCCTAGGATTATCAAGTTGCATCTTCAAAACGCTGCTGCGGTCGCCTTCTTGAATGCACTACGATTCACCTACTTCAACACACTGTGATTTCCCTGTGCACATCAGCAGGGCAGATCTTGTTCAGCGGATGGGAAAACAGCTTCGAAGCAATCGTCTTCCGCACATCAAGCATATTTTGCTGCATAAGAAAAAATGGTAAAAAAGAGTGCAAAAGTATATCAGACACACAACACGTGCAAAAAGTACCCCCAAAAAAGCATGATTATGAATTTTTACCTTCTTAAAATCTTTCATCCTAATGCCATCGAAAATTTCCAAGTACAAAGTTGCAAAAAGTCCACAATCAAAGCTGTTTTGTGATGCCATGCAGAAAAAAGTGTAGAAGATGGTTAAGATGGGTACAAAAAAGGACATGAAAGAACTACTATTATGGAGGGTGATGTTCATCAAAGCTTACTGAGTTGCCTATTGTGGGTAGTCAAGCAGCGGCCAGTCGGATTTGAAAGAAGATAGGTCCACTGTGAAAGCTGGCTCTTCTGAAGCAATCCTCTTGAAATTGGTAAACTAGAACAAGTAGCAAAACATTAGCAAAAAAGTTACAGGTGCTTTGTAAGACACACAAGTAAAAATGGAAGAAAAATGCTACCACCACTAAAACTTCAGGTTATTGCTCTCTTTTTACATTAAATGAAACATTGAAAACTACAGATAATGCTCATTGTGGATCTTGTTTTTTTCATTAATGAAACAAAGAAAACTACATATAAAAGGATGAGATGTCACTTGCCAGATTCCTTGCAGCAATATCCAACTTTCCATTATCCCATGAGTCAAACAAGTTAAACTCCTTGTGCAATAGGTTAATGACACAAACAATCCAGTGGCCATCGTAGACGATGGTGAAGTAAAGCTAGAAAAAGCAGTAAAGACAATATAGAAGTGAATAAACTTGAAAGCAGCAAAAACGGAAGGAAACACATAAATTGATATAAAAAAGTGTTGGGAGCAGTCTTACTAGGTCAAAAACAGAAATCTGAAAATTTTGGCATGCCCTCCTCAGCTCTTTTGCACAAACACTTGGATCAAATACTTCTGGGTGGACAGAGAGTTGAAGCTATAACACATGTGGACACAACAAACACAAAATTAAGAAAAGGATGAATAGAGATCTGCTGCAGTAGGGTATACACAAAAAAAATCTAGAAAAAGTGATAGCAATAAAAGGGATAAAAAGTAGATGGGAACTAACACTCATTAAAACAGAGAAAGCAAATTTCTTCTGCATATTTGAAGACGACAATTGTTCAATGTTGAAGCTTTCAATGAATAATGACATGACTTCACTACAAATATGAGCACGTGGCTTCAACGACTTCTGGAAGTTCGTGTACGTAATGTGGAAATCATCAATCCTAATGAAAGGAGGCCTGCAAAGAATAAGGATAAAACCATAGTAGTGAGGACCGTTTGACAAAGATGAAAAATGTAATAATACAATATAACAAAAATGTTGGAAGCAAAATTCAGAAAAAGATGCCACTTACTCAACTTCCCCTCTCTTCATCTTCTTCATCTTGTACCTCTTCATGACATAGTGCTGGTACATTGCTTCCGTGTTCGAATCTGTCTTTATTTTCTTGTACTTCGATCCGGCTGACAGTGGACTCCCTACTCTTTTCTTACTCTTGAGTTTGTTCTCATCCTTGCTCTTCAACTTCTCCTCGTCAAGGTTGGGGCTTGGTTCCCTGCTGCTAACTAGAACAACTGTCTCTTCTTGTGGCTTTGATGGTCCATCTGAAAAAAGCCAGTAGAAAAATGATTTTACAGAAAAATGTTGCGATGAGATATTTGCTCAAAGATATACATGGCAGAGCATACCTGCAGCCCCACTTGATAATGGAGCCATGGAGATTGGTGTGACATCATACACAGGAGCTTCTACTTCTCTTGATATTGCAGCCTGAGGAGTGACATCAAAAACACCACAAGACTTTGGTGTTGTAGCAGTGTTGCCATGAGTTGGAGCATTGGAGTTCGGATCTTGACTTTGGACACTAATCCACCAATCGTACTCCTCGGTGCCCTCTTGGAACAGGCACATTGATGGCGCATCACTCCAATGTCCAGTCACGCTAGTGTGCACAGAGTCATTGCGCTCGATGAATTGGTCACCATGCTCAATATCTTCACCACTAGACACTTTCTCCCTTGCATTCTCAAAAGACTGTGCAGGGGGCTCACTGACAACAGAGTCATTGCGCTCGATGAGTTGGTCACCATGCTCAATATCTTCACCACTAGTTCGTGTGCCCATCTCAACCACATTGCCGCCATTAGACTCATGATCAATGCCGCTTGCATGGTTGCTTCGAGCTCCTTCACCCGGCTCAACCACCTTGTCTGTTGTTGGCTCATCTGCGGCTTTCTTGCTATAGCTTTCCTTGACACAACCATGACGATCTGACTTGTCTACATCATTGCTGCGAGGGGGTGGCACATCAAAACTAACATCCGTTGCTCCCTGATAACTTGATGAAGCAGCGTCCACATCTTTGAGGAGCTGCCCCATTCTCTTGCAATGTATTGCTTGCAACACTTGCCCAAAAGAGCTTAGAGCCCCTTTTAACTCTAAAGAATATAGTTTTGTGTGCTTGTCGTAGATTGCAGCCAGATGTGATGGTAGCTGAAAAATGTATGGAAAAAATGATGGTCATCAGTATTAAAGCAACTTAACATATAATGGAACTAGAAAAACAAAGCAAATAGAAAGGTATTTAATAAAAAATAAAGAACAGAAATAAAAACACAAAAAGAATAAGGAATAACCTCACCTCAAGCTCTGCACCGAATGGTGCTGGGTTCTGAAGCCAATCATCCAGTGAACCACACACATCTTCGTCTCTACTTTTGCCATGTTCCGTTGGATTGCTACCACCTTCCGTAGGATTCTCTTCCTCAGCCACATCAGCTTGGTTGTCATTAATGTTGACATTTTCAGCCCCACAATCTTCAGTATCAACACAATCCGGGCTGTCCGGAACCTGCTGATCTTGATCAACTTTAGTCATGTTGCCTACCGGGCCTTCGGCAGGCAATGCTATGTACGGTGTCTCCGATAGAGGGCGAAACTACATGACACAAAGTAAAAAAGAAAACAAAAAGAATTGAAACCATTAGTACACAAACAACAGAAATAAAATAAGGAAAACACAAAAATGGGAAGAAACAAATAATGCAATGGATGAGGAAGGTAAAACCACACAAAACTTACACGACACTTCCCGAATGAAGCTTTGCCCAAAGATAGCTTGTTCTTGTCAAATTCCAATACAAGATCAAAGTCCGTTTGATGTACGAAGCAAGCCCTTGGAAGAGAATAATTCAGCTGGTGCTCATTGATGGCAGCTTGGGGAAATATCAAATGGTCCATGTAAATAACCTGAATAAGAAAGACAAGAAATAATTTCCCAGACACAAAAAAGAAAAAATGTGATTATGACAAACAAAGACATGCTGCGATAGATAGAAACAATCTAACAAGAAAAGCAAGTATACTGCAAGCATAGGGAAACAGCCCCCAACCCAGAATGAAGAAGTAGCTTGTGATTTTATCTTGTCCTGACACTTCTTGACCTCTCTCATTGCAACACTTAAAACATGCTCATCCCAAGCGAATTCAGCAACCTTGTCCATTTCTACAAGGCTTTTCAAGTACTCTAGAGGCACCATGTTTCCAGTGCTTGGAGTTAAAACGGTTGCAAGCGCCAAGAGCACCCATGATCTCTTCGTAGTATCGCCATCATCATTCCTTGCTCGGTGAAGCACAGTCACTGTATGCGCAATTGGAGCCCTGCCATTCTTATGATAAATGTTGCGTAGCTCACACTGCTCGTGTCTCTTGAAAAGCTCAACTGGTCTGTTGCCTGATGGGATATTGAAAACCTTCTTCACCATGTCTCTAGTAAACACAATCACCTTAGTCCGACTCAGCCTGAAAACCCACAAATAAAAATGTATTCATTGGTTACTAACAAAAACATAACCTAAGAAAGAAAAGAAAGTATATGTTGCAGACATGCATGATGTAGGAGAAAAAAGAAGAAATGAGGTGGGTGCAATACCTGAGCTCACGCTTTTCAGTGTCAATGTTCATAGTTAACCACTCCATCAGATCAGGTGGCGCTTTGAAATGTGAAATGGTCATCAGATCACCAAAGCCAGTTTCATTAATGTAGTGCCTCTTGGTGGGATTGAGTTTTGTCTTCGCAACTCCGCGCAAGCGTTTTGCTGCAAAACGTTGGCTGAATGCAGTACCAGACTCCATTACTTCTTCGTCTGACATGTAGCTGCAAAAAATTACATGAAGCAAAAACACTATAAGATGGAAAAAAATCTTGTATATATGTAGAAATAAAACAAACAATAAGACACTGGCTGCACTGACTTTCATCTAAAACAACCTAATTTAAACAACAAAATGCATCTAAACAAACAAAAAAAATGCAGCATAAACCTAATCTTTACTGAGCAGATAGCATCATCACAAAATTAGACCACTGAGAAATCTAGTCATCCAACTCTGAAAATCTAAACACCTACGACTACAACCCTGACCCCTACATCTAAAATCTCAACTATAAAAACTCCACTTTCAGATAGACCCATCTACAAAAGCTAGGTACACCCTCCTCTTTTAGCTAGACCCATCTACAGATTATTATCCATATTATTATTTCAATTCTCAAGTATGTATATTGGCATATTCCATGTTTTTGCAGATGATTATTATCCAGACATAAATGCTAGCACTAAGTCTGTAAGCTTATGCCACTCTTACATGACACACATATAATGTTCAAAAAAAATCATATTTACACCGTAAAGTATGCTGGTATTTTGGAAGTTTATAGTTAAATAGGTGGTTTGCAGCAATATTCATCACATTTTGGAAGTTTATTGTTAAAAAAGGTGGTCTGCAGCAAGTAAGTTGTAGAGAACAGACTTCATTCACCAGAGAAAAATGTGATGAATATTGCTTGCATGTTCGCTCTCTCATTCGCCTTGGGACAAACTCTTGAACTGGCTGCCAGACGAAGCTCCATGTCCAACTCTAAAAATCTCATCACCTACCACTACAACCTTGTCCCCTACCTCTAAAATCTCAACTATAAACCCTAGCTACAGCATGGAACCAAATTAATCTGATGTACACAAAAAACCCTAGGTGAAATGGGGACGAATTTGGCGACCTGGAGGGAGCAACGGCTCAACTGAAACCAAATTAATCTCTACCATGCATTCGGCCCGGATCTACTCGTCCAGCGTTGGGAACTACTGGGAATTAAGCTCTGAAGGGAGATCAATCAGGCGGGGGAGAAAAAATGCTGCGAATTGCAGGCCACCATACCTGTCGTCCGCCGCCGCAAAAACAAGGGGGTCGTGTAGCTCGGCGCCATGGCCGACGATGCTCGGCGCCGCCCGATGATGCTCGCCGCCGGTCGTCCCGGCAGCATCCAGTCCCCCCGCCACTGCCACGATCCTAGATCTCGGACTCGACTGCACCGTCGTCAGAGCTAGAGAGGGGGATGGGGATGGAAAACGATGGAAGCAGACAGGGACGCCGAGCTAACGGGGATGGAAGCAAAAAAAATCACCTGAGGCACGCGCGTCCACACACCTGGAAAGAACGCGTCCGCACCGTCCTATGCCACGCGATCCGACGGCGCGCGAGACGGTCGCTCAGATGGCTGCGTGCATCCGGCTGCGAATAAGCGTTTTCCTAAAAAATTTCGTTGTTCCGTCGCATGGTACTAGGTTTTTGTGATAGGTCAATGTAGATTCCACCTCGAGGCAGTTGGCCTCGTTTTCTTTTTCTTGTACGTGTTTCATTTGGCATCAATGTTTTGACTTTACTTAGCATTGTTGAATAATCTGTATTTTTTTTTAAAACGGAGGCAAAAGATTTGCCTCATCGATTAATTAAGCAAAAGAGAATTGCCCGGTTAATTAGAAGAAAACCGGGCGAAAACCGATATAAACTTACCACATGTGGACTACTCACAGAGCATGCAACCCCATAACCACACGATCAACCCGACAACCAAACCGAACACGCAAGGTCCATCAACCCTCACACTGTTACATCGCAAAGAAGACCCCAACAAGAGAACCTCGCTAAAGACCATGCTTTTCACCAAAATGCACCGAATCATCAAGCTGCTGCGGACGCCTTTCCTGTGGCGCCACTCTTCTTTGCTTTGCTCCTGAGAGCCTCCTCCACAATTGTCTTGTCAGATCCGGGGCTAGCCCTCTCCAAACATTTGAGCAAACTGTGAATCTCAATCTCGAAGAGAATCTCATCAACCTTGTCCCGCACAGACGCCTCGTACCTCACGGCCACATGCGAGTCGGTGACTGCAACGTCGGAACCTCCACGGTCCACAGAGGCGAGCGGCTGGCTGGGCGCTGAAGGATCAGGCGCCAACATACTAACCACCTCAACATCATCAGCCACAGGTACCCCTGACATAATGGACTCAGGCACCACCGACACAAAGGACTCAGGTGCCTCCAGTTGCTCACATGACAAAGGAGAATCATGTCCCTCACAAGAGGTCGCTGGCGCGTCGACCTCCATATGCTCCACAGACGGAGGCGAAGCTGGTCTCACACATAGTTGTTGAAGCTCGGGCATGACCTGCAGCACAGGGGTGACGACCCCGGCGAAGGCCTCACCCTCAACAATACCTGACACAAGGGGCAAGACAGACACTGGCGAAGAACTGACCCCAGTACGAGGGGAGAAACAACCGAAGAGCTCCGTCCCCTTGTCTCCCACGGAACAAACACCAGAAACAACAGGAGGTCGCGACATCGGAGCAGTCGGCAACATAGCCGGCACAAGGGAGAGCTTGGTCAGAGTAGCCTCCGCCCGCTCCAAAAAGCTCTCAACACGTGCCATCAAGCCTTGCAGCATCTTGAACTGTAGCTCCACATCAGACAAGGTAGCTGAGACAGCAGTACCAGGGACGATAGACGCTTAGGACCCACGACGAAGCGCCTCGGAGGGGAGCATGAACTTCATTGAACCTTCACAGGAAGCTGGAGCTTGACGATGCTCGATGCCGAGACGCGGCATGGCAAGGCATGCCAGCTAGCTGAGAGGACGCCAGGGGTTACGGCACCCGCGTGCAAGGTAACCATTCTGCAAACATCGGGAGCATCTAAATGGATCTCTGCAAACAGCCGCACAATGCCCAGGAGCAAGGCATCTGCAGCATCTGCCATACAGCCAAGCAGGGATGGGGCGAGCAGCCAATACCAGGGCCGGTGGTGACGGATGCCGCGGACCTCGCCGCGGCAGCACCTCCTGCCTGCTGCCAAGGCCATTGACGCCGACCCCGCCAAGGTGTGCATAATCTGTATTATTGTGTGTGCGTGGATGCTGCTATCCTCCTTTTTGCGGGAAAAAGCAATTCTTTCGATGAATTGCAAGCTGTGATCTACGTATGCATGCGTACTGATGGCTCCCCGTCAGTTGGATACACACCCAATCGGACCCTACCTACGCCTCACCCCCTTGGGCCTTGGCAAACGCAGGCCACGACCGCCATGGCATGTGCTCAACACATCACTCGTGGTCATGCATCGGTGCGTGCCGCCCCGCGGACGTCGACCAGATCCGACCGAGTCCATGTCCATCCACGGATGCAGCAGCTTTGCGTTGCAACCACTCGGCGGATCCATCCATCACATGCATCCTCATCATCCGTATGGGTCGCCATTACCCATGCCATTAGCAAAGCACGGAAGCAAAAGGCCAAAACAAAAGCCAGAGCCACTGGATCGTCTCGTCTTTTTTATGTCTCTCGCGCTCTGAACTTTGCTCTTGTACGTACGCGGTACAGGGCATCGGCCATTTGCGTACCCCGGGTAGGAGGTCGGTACGCTGGGCGCCCACTCCAAAAGGCAGCCAGCCGTGCCGGAAACTGAATCGGGAAAAGGAGCGGATGGATCCAGGGACCGATGTGATGGCGTCCATGTGCACGCTGGTCGACCGATTTTGCCACCGCTGTAAGTGATCACCGGCGTCGCTTTGCGCGTACTTAGTTGGGTGATGTGATTGCGAAGCTCTTGTTGTAGGTGGATGTACTGGCATACAGTAGATCATAATTGGCGCATGATCCGTGGACCTTTCCATCGGGGTAGTAGGACGTAGTAGTGCCGTTGAGCTCCTCGGTTACTTACGCGCAACGTCTATAATATTCAATTCGATTACCCGCATGTTAGCCGAGGACAGATTGACTGGTTAATCTAGTCGTAGTTAGTCGACATGCATGAGTTACTGTGATCCAACTTTGGATGAAATCCGTTAGGAATAGTTTAATTGACACGTGCTAGCTAACAATTCATCATTAGTAAAACAACATTAGCGAAGCGGTGTGTCCAACCCCGAATAGACGTCTCGTACGGACACATGTGTCCATACAGACAGCGGTGTCTCTCGGCGGCATGAAGCAATGGGGTCTCAACGGTGAACGCGTAGTGATGGACAAGGGCAGGGTGGCGGTGCTGTCTGGCGTCATGATGACGTCAACGGCAGACTAGCAAGGTCGATGCTTCAGTACCTGCTATGAAGATGGATCGGTGGAAGTCGGCGGCGGCGACCTCTAAGAGTGCATCGGACCGGTATGTGTCCCAGACCCGGTATGAGGCTTGGCTGGGGCCTCCGGCTTTAGATGTTAATCTTTGGTGCGAGGTCTATTTGGTATTCGGCTTGGACAATCGGCAACCCGTCGTCAAGTGGTTATGAGTAGTGACAGATGTTGTCAAGATAATGGCTTCAGACTTATTAATGTATTACCTTGTAATGTCTTTGTGAATAATTAATAAAATGACTCTTCCCCTTTTTGAAAACAAAAAAATGTGTCCATACAGACGCGACTCTTCCCCCTCTCTTTTAATCTTGTAACTGCTGCCTTTTGGAGGCATCCCTTGAACATGTATATATATCTTGAGATCAATACAATTAAAGGACTAATCGTCCACTTCCTTTCAATCCTAAAAGCAAAAGCACATTGCTCTGAATTTACTTATCCTCACAAATTATAAAGAGTGAGAAAACAATTTGCAAACAAAATATTGTGAAAATCCAATAGATTGTTCACAATGTCATAATCATGTCAATTGAATTGGTATGCCACATCATCCACATTTGCAAAGTTCATGGGAGGGTGAGTAATGTCCCAAACCTATAACCTGTTAACAGTCATCAGATTGCACATGTTATACTCTTTTTTCCTTCATGAGTTTTCTCTAACGATTTCTCATAAAGGTTTTTAA